TAGTTATAATGTAAATACAATAATAATTAAACCAAGATTTAGAATAATTATCATTTTGATCCATACATTGATAATGTCTGACTGGGCCTCGTGCCACTTTCTGTTCAATAAATTGGGCCCCGAGGTCAAAAAAGTTAAGAATCCTAGCCCTAATGCCTGTCTTGTCTCTGTATGTGTACCAATGATTTGAAAACTCAATCTGACATGAAAGCCTTACCGATGGGCCTGGCTCGCTCGCGGATCTCTCGATGATTGGAGGCGGGGTGTCTGTACGTGTCGCGGTAATGATGGGCGATGGCCATGTCGTCCAGCCTGTAGTGCTGCGGGGGGAGCGGACCCGGATGGGGCAAGCCGTTGGGTTGGTAGGAGAGCCCGTTGGACGGACTGAAACGCTGGGCGGGGCTAATGGTGCATGGCCGTTTGCTGGGGTGGACCTCCGGGTGCATCGGGCCTTCTCGCTCAAAGCCGTTCTCTTTGGTTCTGAGTGGAAACACACAACCACATTTTAAGAAATCATTGGAAACATTAAGATAATTATCCTTTTCCTTTTCCCATCAAACCAGATTTCTAATTTGGAGTCAGCATCTGTTGTTTTTTTTCTTCTTTTCTCGCTTTGACCACCTCTTTCTTCACTACAATCCTGCCCCTGTCACAGCCAGCCAGCCGATAAAAGGCTATGACTTACAATAAATCAGAAAATGAAAATAAAAGAAAGGAGAGAAGTTGTAACGGGGACAGTGTCACACTACTTTGTAAAAACCAGTGACACGATGCTCGCAGCTCAATTTATCCTTATAAGAACGCAGCAACTGGTTCAGCCTCCATGCTGCTGTCACTGTTTGAGTCCAGCCTCCAACCAGATAAAGTAATTACTACGAAAGGTTGCATTTCCTGGAAACATCTTGGGATTTTTTTTTTTTTTTTGAGAACAAGTCAATTTATATATACACAGTTAAAGGTTGCTCACACAAATTACAGACACACAGACACAAACTCACACAAGTAGTTTCAAGGGGATCAGCTGGGTTTTTGTTAGCCTGCTTCCAAAGATTAATGTGGCCAGGTGTGTGTGTGTGTGTGTGCATGCTTGCACATATGTGCCTTTATGACTACAGTATGTGTATGTGCGTGTATATGTGTGTGTTCTCGGCTTTGTCAGTTTACAGTTAAAACCTGCCAACCTCCCCCTGCTATCCACGGTCCCCTGGTTTCCTCTCCCCCCACCTCCTCTTTCTCGCTTCTCTTCTCTCCCTTCTCTCTCTCTCTCTCTCCRATGAACAGATTGAACTTCTTAATGAGCTGTTTTTATGGGCTCCTAATGCTCATCCACAGCTCTCCATATGCTCTTTTCTTCCATCCGTCCATCTCTCCGTCTCCCTCGACTCATCTACCCATCCCTCCCACTCTTTTCTCCCCCAGTCTTGCTGCTGCAACAATGTTTATATCTACACACAACAACAACACAATGATGTTTGCACTCGCAGTTTGCTGATACATAATGCCAACTCAGAGGCATGCACCAAGACTTTTTAAGACTTCATCAGTTTTGTTGATGTGAAAACATGGAAACAACTCATGTTTCTAGGATTTTTGTGATAATTCTGTTCGTGTCAGAAGCTAAAACCTCCATGTGTTTAATTATATCTTTCATATAAAACTGATTTATTGATGCATTTTTTGAGTTTAAAATCACCTTAAGGGAAAATGGTCTGAAGTCAACTAAGCTCCCTGTGGGACTGGTTCACTACAACGCTTTTTTTTGGCGAGTATCACAGCTTGTAAATGGCTTTTTGGAGCAGCTAAAAGCCCCTCAGTTCATATTTGGGGAGATTTCGCTCCTTTTTTCCAGAGAGTAAATACGAAGGCTTGTAGTTCTGCGAGATTTTTTTGTATAGTTTGCAAAAATTATTTGATGATGTTTGGATCACAGATCTGTCATAATGATTTAAGTTGGTGAACTAAGATCATTATGCTGTGACAATTAAATGGATCAATAGTTGCCCATGCGTCTGGCTGCAAAAGCTTAAACGTGACATGTATGATTTTTATAAAATTTTGCTAACTTTTCTGAAGCACACTAACTTGGTAAAACTTTTTCTTTTCTTTTTGTCACTCTAAAATTATACCAACTAATTTTATCACTTCAGTATTGCTTACAAAACAAGTCATACCTTGGTTCTATTCAATAAAAAAGCAATAATTCAGACTTTTTAGAAGTGGTGTTCTCGGACATGTTATGAACAATCAGTATCTTACCTGAAGTAGATAGCTCTTTAGACAACCTCAGTAAGGAGAAGTAAAACTAATTTCTGACCTAGTTGATGTGCTAATAGCTAGTTAAAGAATTATGATGTTATGACATTATTATATTGCATCTTACTGCTGGAAATATCAGTCCTAAAATAAAATTAAATAAAGAATTCGTATGAGTAATTGTGCATTGTTAGCTAATACGTAAAAGTTGTTTTTCCTAAAGCCTCAACAGCAAACGCTGTAAACAGTTTGAATTTATCCTCCAACACTCAATGCCATGATATTTCTGGCCTGTTTTCAGCATACTATTACCCTAATTAGTATTCATTAATGGTTTGTTGTTGGTGGTAATTAAGGATTTCCATTCAAATTCCAATATTCAGACACAAACTGTTATAAGAGGGAATTCAAAGCAGAGGTAAGCAGAAACAAGAGGTGCTTAGCCAGCCATAATGGTGCTGCAGCCTCATCTGTATGTGTTATCAGCCCGTCTCCCCAGACACACACACACACACACACACACACACACACACACACACACACACACACAC